CTGTAAAAATAAGGTGGGGCTGTCATTTCACATGGTGATTCAAGCTACAGCAAACTCGTCTAACCATTGGCAAATATTTATATATTTTTATAGGGCACTGTTCAAAGTTATCAAAATTGTAAAGCTCCTTATGCAAGTTCATAAATGGTATTAGAGACGAGATTACATCATCAAATCGAAATACAGCAACGGGTTTGACATTCAAACTTAATATCAACAATGTTTAATTTCAGGTTGTAACTACACTCTGACAGACAAGAAAGGTGTTTTCCAGTCCCCTGGTTTCCCTGGTGAATACCCGGATGGACAGCTGTGCTCGTGGAGGATCATAGTCCCTGTTGATCACACTGTGCAGGTTCGCTTCGCTCACTTATCTTTGAATGAAAACGACACTTTGACATATTCCAAAACCGTCAATGGCAGTTTTAGATCGTGGTATACGATTCCCCTTTCTTCAACGGTACCGTTTACTTTGTCAGGCGAGCGTGATGTACTGTTTGTCTTTCGTTCGGATGAATCAAAGACCAGCTCTGGATTCAGAGCAGAATAYCGTGTGTCCATACCACAAGGTGAGTAAAGATACGAACTCATGTTTGGTGGTTGGAGCTCGAGTAAAAAGCCTTATCCTGTTAGAACCATTTTTTTATCGCTAGGGACGCACGCTTATCTGCTTTGCCTACCTTTTGCTCACTGCATTCTTACTGTTATATAAATGTAAAGCGCATTGAGACAATGTGAAATGCGCTATATGAGAAACTCCCATTATTATGTTTCAGCCATATGAGTTAAGACTAGAATATAGAGTTTTGCGCGCTGTGATTGGTCGAGTGACCAATGATTCTGAGACGATAATCACTGCTAGACCTTGCCTTGCCAAAGCAGTGATTATAAGGTTTCCCAAACGTTGCCATAGCGGAAGTAATACTAGTTAGATTTTGACCTCCACTCCACGAGAAGCTCGATGTTGCCGTGGTTCCAAGAGAACTAAGTGGAGATAACTAGCTAAAAGCTAGTGTGAACTAAGTGGCTCAGTCCGATATTCACTTCGCTTTCGACGAATAATTGTTAAATATAATCTGAGTGTGTTCTTGTTCTTATATCCATAGCTTTAACTACGCCTACTGAAATACCTACAATGTCCACCGATACAACAACAATGGCGTCTACAACATCTTGGTCTGCACCGAGCGGTGAGTAAGAATTAGTTGGTTAAAAGTATCAWGTTAGAAAATGGTCTTTCACCTAACAAGTAAGAATTAATTTGTAATTAGGTGGGATATTGGTAGCCAAGGAGAAGTAAAGTCTTCAAGGCAAATTTTTAAAATTAATTCAAAATGTGTTAATGTCGATGAACCTTCCGGGGGAAGAGGGAATGCCAAAGGTATCTAATACTTCAATAAAATATAAAGAGATGATAAAATRAAGGGTAAATGTTACTTAATTATGTAGGTGAAACTCACCCAAAACAGCTGGCAACCTTTACCCTTTCATTTTAACTTCAAGGAAGGTGTAAACGATCACCTGTAATACGCTTCAGCCAAAATAGGTGGTAAAGATTTTTAACCTAATATTTTGAGTTAAATTCAAATATCAATTGAGGGTAAAGCGATTTTTACCCCAAACTCTGGGTGTGTGATGACAATAGTTACTCATAGAAAGTTGAAACACCCTGAAGACAGGCGAGAATAGCAGTGACAGTTTACTCAAGTAAAGGAAGGTAATGTGGTAAGGTAAGGTGTTGATAATGCCACAATCCGTCGGATCCGCAAAACATTTATTCATATCCGAATCCGCAAAAAAATTGATAGTTGAATGGTATGTGAATTGTTGAATTGTGTTTTACAAATCTGTGGCGTTTCTTTGATCCGCACTCTATAGTGAGTAAAAATCGAAATCCGGACAAGAGAAACGGATAAATCCGAAATCCGCCGCATTTGCAGGAAGCGCCAATCCGTTTAAATTTTACTCTGAATCCGAAATCGGGACTAAATTATTTGCGAAACCTGCCAATCCGTAAACCTATTCACTCCCCCCTTCCTCCCTTTAATTCCTCCTTGTAGTGGCACAGCTTTTACAGCAAGGCCACATCAATCATTTTAATGTCATTGTTTTAGTCATTTTTTCTTAAAAGAAACTAGATGAGACAGAAGAAAACATATGAATATCTGCATCAGACAAGCAGGACAAGCAAGTGAGCTACATACCCCTAGCTTTTTCTCCACANACTGCTAGACCTTGCCTTGCCAAAGCAGTGATTATAAGGTTTCCCAAACGTTGCCATAGCGGAAGTAATACTAGTTAGATTTTGACCTCCACTCCACGAGAAGCTCGATGTTGCCGTGGTTCCAAGAGAACTAAGTGGAGATAACTAGCTAAAAGCTAGTGTGAACTAATTGGCTCAGTCCGATATTCACTTCGCTTTCGACGAATAATTGTTAAATATAATCTGAGTGTGTTCTTGTTCTTATATCAATAGCTTTAACTACGCCTACAGAAATACCTACAATGTCTACCGATACAACAACAATAGTGTCTACAACATCTTGGTCTGCACCGGGCGGTGAGTATAAGAATTAGTTGGTTAAAAGTATCAAGTTAGAAAATGGTCTTTCACCTAACAAGTAAGAACTAATTTGTAATTAGGTGGGATAACTCCAATTCTGTTTAGATCGATATATACTTATTTGAATAAAGTTAGTCACCTGAAAAGCTACAAAGTTGAGACCGACAAGGATTATGGGTAGATACATTTTACATGTTTCAACCGCTTGATAACTGTTGATGGACTTAAGATCTTCTACCAGCTATAAGTTCCCCTCCTCTGAGTATCCTCAACTGCTGCAGTTTTTGTCAAAAGCTTTACTTGTTGGATATAAAATACTTCCCATGATTCTCGACGATCACAGCTTTCTAGGTTTTGGTGACTAACTTTATTGAAATAATATATACCCTTTGGAGAGAGAATAAGCTGGCAAACCTTACCCTTTTATTTTGGGTACAGCAGCTTCAACCTCAAGGAAGGTGTAAACGATCACCTGTAATCACTTCAGCCAAAATATGGGGTAAAGATTTTTAACCTAAATTTAAGGATTTTTTGCGTTAGTACAGATTCGACCCAATGGCCAGGTGGTGAGTACGTTCTAATCAAGCCTAAAAATGGTTGTCCAACTAAGTGGAAAGACAAAGCCTGGATTTTACAAGATACCAAAAGTAAGGGGAGTAATTACAGATCAAGGATTCTTCATATTGATGGTTACGTTGCTTCTTATTATGTAGTTAGATCTTTCTGTATCAGAACAGGAACGGAAGTCTCATCAGTTTGGCCACAAGGTACGTTTGCCAAGAAATCTCAGTTTCAGCTCTGCATGATTGTTCGAAAGTATAATACGCGGTTTATAGACAATATTTTCCTGTTGTAGGTCAATACTGCATATACGGGAATAAAACCTTTTCATCTGGGTCAATCAAAATGACTGGTGAACACACTGACAACAAAGACGCAGTAAAATACACTAGTTCCTTCGTTGATTATTATAATGAAAACTCCAATAGACAAAAAAAACACATCGAATTTTACTTTCAATGCTACACAAGTGGGAACAAAAAGATTCCTATCTCGTTACCGATAACCAAACCATTTTATCTGCTGCCTTATGGGTCACGTGACTGTCAACAAGTCAAATGGATGGTAGCAACAAC